CCAGCATGGTTGGCTGGGGAATTCTGGGAGTTGAAGTCCACACATCTTCAAGTCGCCAAGGTTGAGGAACCCTGCTTCAGCTCATTCAGGTCTTCTTCCACATTCTTAGTTGCCTTGTGGAAGCCTCCTAGATTGTCCAGTTGGTTCACAAGGTGGAATAAAAATCAATTAAGCAATTGATAGCCTCTTCCTTCTTTACTCTATTGCATGCCTTAACAGATGGTTCAAGTCCCTGAGGAGGAAACATTTTGGCTGCAAGGCTTTAGAAGCACGGCTCAGCCTGAAGCAAGTTGCGTGCAAAGCTCAGTCTGAAGCCTGTGTTCTTGTGCTACCGAGGATCCTGCTATTTTGCCCTGCTGCCCACCCCTTGCCCACAGACCGGCTATACACACGCCAGACAGATCCCTGAGGCTCCAGGCTTCCTTCTCCCTTTCATTGTCTTTTTAAGTTTCCATTGCCTTGTGCAAATGGGCCAGTGGAAAGAACGCTGCAGGGGCAGGAGATAAGGCGAGCAAACAGGGCCCTTAACTTCTGTATGTCTGTGCAAGGAAGGGGGAGGATGTTCTTTCACTTCCACCCCTAACCTCCCCCCACCCTTCCTTCGTGACTTTGGAAAGTTTGTCTATTTGGAGAAGGAGGCGGTGGTAGGGATGATGGATAGGAGGGATCAAGGCAGCCAAGAGCTGTTGGGTCCAGTTTAGAAAAGCTGGACCTGCATTTATCAGGAGCCTTTATAAGGCAAGAGAGATAGCAGGTCAACCTGTTGCTGGAGAGAGATAAGATATCAAGGGCTGGTGTGGAGACACTGAAGGAGCAGGTACAGAAAGACGGGTGATGAAACAAGTGACCTGCCCCTTCATCTCATCTTCTGGTCTCTGCAACTTCTTTCAACTTGCTCCCAGTTCCTATGTCTCTGCAGTTGCTCTGCTCTTCATCTCCCCCCTGCTTTCTCACACTTTCTGTCTTTATTCCTCTTGATCATCAGTTTTAAATAATCCACAGCAGCATCCTAGGCTGGAATGGTTCTTCCCATTTTAACTTTGGGGAATGAAGGCCAACTTTCTCACCTGGAGGAAAACCAAATGTAAACCTTTTACACATCTATTTTTATGGCAGTGCTTGGAAAATCCTGAAATACAAAGTGTGAGAAAACTGATTTTTCTTACTGGATCTCTCTGTCTTTCTGTCTCTGTCTCTCCTTCTCTCTTATATGTGAGACAAACCTTTAGAAATATAATTAATTTGGTCTTTTGGCCTTCCTACTTTAAGGAGAATAATTACTGTATTTTGTTGTGGGGTAGCCTTTTGGAAGAAAAAAAATACTGCTGGATGAGACCAAGGTGGGTATAAATATCCTATTTCCAGGGTGGGAGAACCAGATGCCCCCAAATTTAATCATCAGGGCAGGAAAACGTATCGCCCCTGTTAATGGAGTTTTGATTTTTAAATAAGAGAGTGATTGTGCTAGCCTAGACAAAAACCAGCCTTGTGGCTCTTAAAGGACTAATACATTTATTACAACATGAACATTGTGGTCTTGTAGTTAGTTATACCACAATAAATCAGTTTCATCCTTAAAGTGCCACAAGGTTCTTAGTTGTTCTTTGCAGTTGGAGTTAATAACTGTCAAGCTCATCTGAATGGGTTTATTTCACCTTTTTCTGATGAGATATTTTCCCCATGGACTAATACTGTAACATAATGGAACTAGACAAGTCAAATCCTTTGGGAATGCTGGAGTTTTCTTTCAGCTTTTTCTTTCTTCTAGAAGAAAATCTATTGAATTCAATGGGATTTACCTCTGATTTTATATATTTGTATAGGGTTATATAGGGAGGTTTCTATAGCTCCCCGCTGAGAGGTAAATGAATTAGCCCAACTTAGACCCATTATAAGAGGTATATGAATTAGCCCATCTCTTCATTTCTCTCTCATAGAACAGGCTACATGATTCAGCTTCAGTATGAAAGATGGAAATTTGATAGGCTGATGTGCTAAATTAAAAAATGATTATGACCTTGGCAAGACCAGGATGGATGAAGACCATGCCTTTAAATGTGTACTACCATTGATTTTATTTCTAATTGTTTAGCATGACCATTTTTACTGCTATTGCTTTTTATAAAGTAACATACTGTAGTTTTCCACTGCCATTTTATTATAGTTCATATAGTTTTAATATTAATATTAATTATACTTGTACCAGGAGATGTTACTGAAACAATGGTTATATATGCTTTGGTTACTATTTCTGACTTTTAGCTATTTTTTCCATAGGTTTTTACATTTTATATTAACATTTATAGCACATGATTTTATAATGCACTATGTTGCACTGTTGTTTCCATAATCTTAATTATTTAATATTTTTGTAATGACATGATTTTATAGTTGTGGTAATAATTCTAATATTTCATGGCTGTATGGAAGCAAGAGACTTGGACTTGAGTCTAGAGTCAGTAGTTGTAATATCTTAGTTTTCAGTTTTAAAAATAAATAAAGAGAAAGGAAGGGAAAGATCTGGGATGAATACAGTTCAAGTAGACCTGACAATGATCTCAAAAGCTCACTCATATTGGAGTCACTTAAGGACATGTGTGTACAATTTTGAACTGGGTGTTTTGGAACAAAACTCTTCAGCTTTTGATCTGAAAACAGATATTTCTGCTTTTCAGGTACACAGAAAGAGTATGAGCAATATATAACTTTTGTTTTCCCAGGTCCAGCAGCAGCAAATGTAGATGTAAATATTCTGTAGGTTTGCTCTTATTTTAAACATCTCTTTATCTAAGGTACCAAATTCCAAATCAGAGAGTATTGAGAAACTGGCTTATATATTTTTTTATCTTTCCCATGTTATGTAGTAAACTCTTTTTAATGCTTTTTAATATTTTAAATCACATGGTTAATTTGCCAGAGAAATTCAGTTACCGGGTAGGTGGCTAATAAGAAGAAGCATCTTCATAGTTACTGCCAGGTACCTTTCGCCTTCCTCACAAGCACACACTATGTGTGGATGAGGACGTCTATAAGGATAACTTTTCTATCTTGTTCAGGGCCCTCTTGTGAGGTTTAAAATTTGGGGATGAAGGCTTGTCACTGCAAATATATTTCTGGGTCCAAGAACTGTTCAACTAAGGCTAAACTTAAGCTGTGGCTTTAGCTCAGTAAGAGAGAGAGTGTAATACAGTAGTTAAGCTGCTGGGCTTGGATGAGATGGGACCAGGATGGGGCAAATCATGAATCTTTGCCCAACCCCTGGCTTGTTAATGTGGGGATAAAATTAGAGGAAGCAGCCTTGCAGAAAAGGCAGAATATAATCAAAATAGCTTGAATAAATAAGTAAGCATCTGTTCCTTCTCTTCCTATCAGGTGAGAACAATTCCAAGAAGGCCATGGAAGATTCCTCATCCTATAAGACTGTCTTTTCTTTTGGACGTTTCAAACTCCGGAAATTACAAAATGGTCCCGCTTCGGAGCAAGACAATAGCAGTCCCAAAGGTTCAGCAGATCTTCCATCTTCCACACAAGCAGAAGAAAATGGATCCCTTTCAGCTCCACCCGATTATGAGACTTCGATTGATGCCTGCCCTCGCTATGAGTTTTATGCGCTCTCTGCACCGCCTGGACGTCGGAAGATTCGGCCCACACTGGACATGCTGAGGAATGCAGAACCGGTAAGAGGGTTCTGCTCCATGGTGGTCATGGAGAAGAAGTTGGCCTTTTTCTCCATGACAACATGGGGTAGGGAGAGTTTTCTTCACACATGACATCTAACTGTGGTTTCTTTAATGATAATTTACTGAATTAACTGCAAATGACCAGGTTCACATGAAATGCTAAGCTATAACCTATGGTTTAAAATTGCCAAACTATTTCAGATGGGCTCATCTGTTGCTTTAAACCATAGTATGGTTTAGTTTCCATTTAGCCAGCTGTCTGAACCCTAACATTATGGTTTATAAGTCATGATTTATAGCTTAATTTGTTGCAAGATCCCAGCTAGTTTCAGTTTCTTTAATAAATCATGATTACAATAACCATGACTTTGTGCAAAGCGTAAAACAAACAGCAGCTTCCAAACCATAAATTTTGGCCTCAGATCATGCATGAACCAGATTATTTTTATAGAATGTACTAAGCCATGGAATGCAGAATAAAAAATTGCTAGCTTCTCCCTGCATGCCAAACCACATGCATGGCTTTATAAGCCACGTAGGCTAGATTTATTTTAAAAAATCTAAATCACAAACAAGCAAACTACAGTCTGACTCAGTGTGGTGCAGTTTATGAACTCAATTATTTTGTTCTGTGCTATTAAAAGAAACCATGATTTAACGCAATGTGCGAACGTAGCCAAATTGAGTCTCCAAGTGTCACAAAAAGAGCATCAGTCTTTTCCAGCGCAGCCATGTTATTTGGGGATGATGGAGCCAGAATCCAGCATACTTGGAGAGTGTTAAGGAGGAGAGGAGCCATAAAATGTGAAGACGTGTAGAACCGCAGAAGATTCGCATTGGGTCTGTTCTCAGCTTCATTTCTTCTTTATCTTCTTTCTTCATTCAAATAGGGAAAAGGGCAGACATATCCCGGGGACCCAGACTGTGTTGACCCCAGTATGGAGTCTGGGGCTAAGAATGAAGAGGAGAAGGACGTGGAAGCTGCCGAACCGGAAGGAGAGCCTGTTCGATTTGGCTGGGTGACAGGAGTCATGGTAAAGTCAACCAATGAACACAACGCATGAATTCATTTGACCCAGGAGGGGTTGGGTCCCAACAATCCCAGAGATAGGAAACGTAATTGGGAAGAGGCAAAGCCTGGGGTTGCAACTGATTGAATGATCCTTAATTTAGTGGTTTCCTAACAATTTAAAGGAAAAGTACATGCCATGTGATTTTGTGAACGCTCCCAGGTTTTCACTCATCTATTTTTTCCTCCCAAGATCCGATGCATGCTGAATATTTGGGGTGTGATCCTTTATTTACGTTTGCCCTGGATAACGGCCCAGGCTGGCATAGGTAAGAAACTTGGTGGAATTAAAGAGGGACCATTTTCTTGATGACACCTTCTCCCCACCGAAAAACAGGTTCCCAAATCATACGTAGCCAATCTCGATGTGGACCCTTCGGTAGGTTTGTAACTACTTTTATATCATACACATGCAAGGAGGAAAAAATGTGCATTTTATTTTAACATTGTATAATGCTTTTGTACATTTTGTCCACAAAAAATAACCATTCCTTTTCCAACAGAAGGACAATTTCCTTAATGTAATAAAAAACTAATCAAGCTGCATTCAAACTGAAAAAAAGCAAGGCAGACATAATATAACATAGGTAGATAGTCCTAGCTGAATGAACCAGTTTAATAATTAAAAGACTGGACAGAAAGCTCACAAGTCTTAATCTGGAACAGGTAGTCCTTGCTTAATGACCACAATTGGGGCCCGCAACTCCGTCACTGAGCAACACAGTCATTAAGCAAGATATCACATGACCGTGAGGAATTACAACCTCACTTCCTCCGTGGTTGTTAAGCGAGTCACTGCAGGTCACTAAGCAGACATCATGTGACTGAGATCTCACTGCCAACTTCTCCACTGACTCTGCATGTCAGAAGCCAGCTGTGAAACACACAAATGGCAATCATGTGACCACGAGATGCTGCAATAGTTGTAAATACCCACTGGTTACGAAGAACCCAAATCTCAATCATGGGACCACGGGGACGATGCGACGGTCATAAGTGCGAGGGCCAGCTGTAAAGTTACTTTTTCAATGCCATTGTAATTTTGAATGGTTGCTAAACAGGGCTGTCATTAAGCGAGGACTACCTGTATTAAAAAGAACATAATGCTGGTGTTGGTCACCTCCTTGTTAAATACATACATCAGATCACAGATGTTGGACAGCTCTGCTTCCAGAGTGCCAAATGATTGTTTCTTGTTTCTTCAGGGTTAACTTGGTTGATCATTATCATGTCCTCTGTGGTGACCAGCATTACTGGTCTCTCTATCTCTGCAATTTCCACCAACGGCAAGGTCAAAGCAGGTAAGCCATCTTCCCCTTTGGGATTCCAATCTTTTTCTTCCTGTCCTGGCTCAGCCACTGGCCTAGCAGAGTTGAGGCAGGTAATGAATGGAGGTAAATCTGCTTCCAGCCAATTACATATTTAGTGTGTGTGTGTGGAATTATTACACATTGCAAAGCTGTCAACCTGCAGCTTTGCAGTTGCTCTAAATGCTGTAAAGCATGGATTGCATAGGTTAGAAGTGAATTGTATTATGAAGGTTTTTCTTTTCTTTCTGGTTTCTGGTTTCTTTTTCTTTTCTTTTTTCTTTTTTTGCTATTTTTATTCAGGGGTTCCCTGACACCTTAAAATTATTTCAAGGTTCCCCCAGGGTAAAATGGTTGAGAAAGGCTGGCATAGAGGCTAAGGCTATGAGATCTGGGCTACAAAATTGCAGACAGTCAGAAGGTGGCAGCAAAGAGTTGGGGTCTCTGCCCTCTAATGGTCATTGAGGTTTCTGCAGTTGAGATAAAGTAGTCCTACAAGCAGTATGCCAAGTAATCAAAGTTCCAGTTCAGAAGGCATAAAAAAGGACATAGTCAAAGTACAAACCTGGTCAGAGTCCAAGAAGCCAGTTCAAGGGGCCTGAACAGGGTTCAGGGGAGATGGTCAAAAAAGTATGATACAGTGTTTTTAACACTGGGTTAGTCCCAAATGGAGAGGTTTATATAAAATCCTTAAACTCAGCACAGCTGGCCTACGATGAATGCAATTCAGGGTGCAGACTTTCTTGGGAGCAACTGAGTAGACTGCTAACTCTAGAGGACATTTCCTTGCACAATCCTTGCACTTTAAATCTTCTATTAAAGATTTCTTAAAAGGAAGATAAAACCAAATCAAACTAATATAAAATAAGAAAAAGAAAAGAAAAAGAAATCAAAGAGAAAGCTAAAAGTGCAAGAAAGGAAAAAAAGAAAAAGAAAAGAAAAGAAAAGAAAGAAAAAAATCATAAGTTCATTTTTCTTGTTTCACACAAAAAGTCCATAAGGGGTTTCCAGTCATAAAATAAGAAAAAGAAAAGAAAAAGAAATCAAAGAGAAAGCTAAAAGTGCAAGAAAGGAAAAAAAGAAAAAGAAAAGAAAAGAAAAGAAAAGAAAGAAAAAAGATACAAAGAAATAGCTTCCGATCTTCTTTACAGCAGTTATGAGTATAATTATAAATTTCTGTCTTACTCTATGGTTACAACATAACCCTCTTCTTTCTATAATCTATTCTGTCTAATCATCAAAACCATAAATCATAAGTTCATTTTTCTTGTTTCACACAAAAAGTCCATAAGGGGTTTCCAGTCAGCAATAAATGTAGATATTGTCTTCTCTCTGATCGAAGAAGCCAATTTAGCCATCTCAGCAAGTTCCATCACCTTCGCCAACCATTCCTCCACTGTGGGTAGTGCCAAATCTTTCCATCTTTGTGCATACAATAATCTCGCTGCAACAATCCACTTCAACCCTTTTTGACTTGGTCTGTCTGGTGACGCCACTGCTCTCAAGGGCTGGGAGGGCATTCCAAGGAATCCAGACCACACTAGACTGCAGGTTCCAACTCACCGGGACCCACCCTTTCTTCTTGCCATGCTGGGTCCTGGATCCATGCTTTCAGGTCCTGCCTTGGCTAATGAGTCTTCCACAAGAGCAATGGCAGCTCCTTCTTGTCTTCTCTTCCGGGCTCCATGGAAGATTGTTCCATGGGAAAAACAGGAGGGGGTGCTGGAAGAGACATCAAGCACATAAATGGATCAAGGCTGAGGGGGAAGGATGGCTAGGTGGTATTTCTTTGTGTTGGGAAAGAAGATTGCTGAACATGGTTGTGGGAGGAAGGTTTGAAGAGACTGGGAGCTATGCAGGAAAGGGGCCAGGGGTCAGCACCATGGGCATTTCTTCATGCTCCCATAACTGTTTGGGGTCCAATTCTGGTCCCCCAGCCCTGCTTTTTTCCTGTTACCTTTTTTCTCAGCACCATAGCAGTGATTTGCTTTACTGTCCCTGGGCAGCATCAGTTAACAAGGTAGCTGAAGTCTCTCTCAAGTCCAGCTTGACTTATGGTGATTCCATAGACACGTAGATATGGGGAGGGGTTGGGCACTTTCTTTCTCTGGAATGGGTTTTTTCAACCTCCTGGTTGAACAGACTTACCAGTCTAACTTACAGCCCTAGGATAGATCCGTTTTCCCATCCATGTACTAACCAGATCCAACCCTGCTTAGTTCTTCAAAATCAGCCAAAGTCAGCCAGATGTTGCTACTTAGCTAGGTCTGACTTCAGGAACATGTTCTCTTGCTTTTCTTGGTTTGGCCTTGACCTCTTCCAGCATGGTTGTTAAACTTCCCAATCTAGCCCCTGAAGGTGTCCCATCCAAGAGCTATGCAAGCCCTGTCCTGTTGACTTATAGCGTTCAGCCAAAGGGCAAGGACCCATAAAATGTGGAGCCAAGATGTGAACCATTTAAGAATAAAACCTAGAATAATGTTCTGGGGAGGTGAAGATGAAAATGCATCAAGTATTTGGCTGATGTAGTTTTCTCTGGGATAGTGAGATCCTCAAAGAACAGGCATAGCCCTCTCTCTCAATTCAGGTCTGAAGCAAAGGGTTAAAGTCCATTGTGTGCTACAGCTTCAATCCAGTTTGCCTTCTGCAGCTCACAAATTCTAAAGGCATAAACATTCACAGCTATTTGGACCCTTTCTAGGAACTGTAAGATTTTCACTTCACTCATGAATTCACTAGGCAGCCTTTGGCAAACCACTTTGCCAAAGTCTGTTTGCTCCCCCACTTCCCGCCTAAGATGTCACAAGAATAGTGACTGGCTTTATAGAAGCGTTGTAAGAACTGCTGAGCTAGCACACACTGAGCATCTAGAAATTGCCCATGATAAATGTTACTTGCATTCATGTTTTGTACATGCTACTTCTCCAGCGTGCAAATTGTTCTACTTCTGATTTTAAAATACTTTAAAATAAGTGACTTTCTCCACTGGTGGGGCTGGCCTGGTGATAGGGAAACAAAACTGACTTTGCTTCTCTTGTGTTGGGCACAGGGGGAACCTACTTCCTGATCTCTCGCAGCTTGGGCCCAGAACTTGGTGGATCCATTGGTCTTCTCTTCTCCTTTGCCAATGCTGTGGCCGTGGCCATGCATGTGGTGGGCTTCTCCGAAACAGTGAAGGACCTCCTGGTGGTACGTGTGGAACAAACTGGTCCTTCCTCTGTCGTTCAGTCCCTCTACCTGTTTGTTGAACAGCAAGTTATTTGCGCATATTATGGGGTGATTCCTTGGAACTCCTGATGGAGTCATTTTTACCCGCCAATTTCCAGACCTCATGCTTCTATGTAAAACAGGTCTTCCTTCCTTCCTTTCTCCTCCCACTGCCCCTCCCTACCACCTTAAGAATAGACAGCATTGTTGGGCTAAGCAGGTTAGCTTAATCTTTTGAAGACTGCAGTTACAAACAGCTTGAATGCAGGAGGCCGTTTAGAAGGTGAGATTGATGGGGAGGAAATGTTCATCTTTCAACAGGAATTTGATGCCGTGATGACTGATCCAGTGAATGATATCCGCATTGTGGGTGTGATCACTGTCACCGTCCTGCTTGGAATTGCATTGGCTGGCATGGAATGGGAAGCGAAAGTAAGGGCACAGACCTGTTGATGCTGGGATGGGTGACCAGTCCAAAGAAGAGAGTAGATCTTGGTGGTTAGAGAAGATTTGGGGGAAGCCAAGGAATATGGGTTGAGGTCTCCATATTGGGTCTATGTCATCTGACATTTTCAGAAGGAACAAGCTTCAAATATCTGGAAGACTGACACAGTGTGTGGGTAGTTTTGTGAAGGTTTGCCAAATGATTATGGGGAGGAAAACCAGCCAGACCCGTTTCTGAACATTAAAGCCTGATCTGTAAATGATTATCCGGCAAAGCTTTTCATGATGTAGAATACACATCATTATCATATGATCACTATCCTATCATTATATGATAGCAGCAACTGACTGAAGTTATTTACAGGGTGGGAGAAGAGGCTGGTAAAAATCTTGGCAGTGCTATTAGCTGTTGAAATCTTAAAAGCAGCCGAGCAGCATTTTTACGTGTACTGCTAGGCAAAAGCTTGAGGGTAGGTAGGACAAAGCAATACATTAAGTCAGTTATGAAAAATTGATTGATTTTCACTTTTGTCAGATCTCCATAGAAGTAATCAAGTTGTCCACATTTTAGGAGGGGAAGCAGAACCTCAAGACCAGTCTTAGATATAGGTGCTGCATAGCCACACTGCCTACCCAGGGAACACTGTGAACTTTAATTGAACAAAGAATATACAACGGAGGGCAATGGAGCTCACCAAATGAACATTCCCAGGATTCCTTGTTCATTAGGAGTGCCCTTATAAAAACAAAGCCCATTGAACCATATTTTTAGGATTGCTTACTCTGAGTGGTGGTGGAGGATCTCCAAAGGTTCTAGCAGGAACTAAGTTTTGCCTAATCCAAACCTAGATTCTTCTGTAAGTGCTGAACCAGGAAGGGATCACCACTGGGATCCTTCCAGGATTTGAAGGAAATCATGGCATAGTGTTTCAGGTGTTCGACCTCCAGTTTCAAGGCTAGCCTCAGCCATGGAAAATCACAGGGTGAATAGGCCATTTGTACTCCCAATCTATTTCATAGAGTTGCTTTTTGGAGATAAAATAGAAGGAAATCTACATATAAACTACCTTGATTTCATGGAGAAAAAGTGTGATATATATATAAATATATATAAATCTGAATAATTCTCCCATGAAATCTAGGATCAGGAAGTTGGTCCAGCTGGGAATGAAGCTCCATTTCTTTTCTCTTGTTGCTTCTCTTTCCAGGCTCAGGTTGTCTTCTTCTTTGTCATTATGGTGTCCTTTGTCAACTATTTTGTTGGGACCTTAATCCCTGCCACACCAGAGAGAATGTCCAAGGGCTACTTCAGCTATCGTGGTAAGGTTCACATTCTGCAATTCCTGGTCTTCTGGACAGAATCATAGTTGTATAATACGGGTGTCCAACACTTGGACACCCATATTTCCTCAAGGATCTTCTGAATACCAGGAACATGAACATAACCCCTGTCAGTAATTCCTTAGAGCAGGCATGACTTTTCCCAGGATTGCATGGCTACCCAGGGTATGCAGGAATGCAAATATTGCTCTGTTTGGAACTCTTTAAAGCAGCTGTATCTTTTCAGAGATTGTGTCACTGCCCAGATCATGCAGGAAGACAAGTGTAGTCCTTGACTGCAACTCTTTAAAAGTGATTCCCCACAATCCTGGGAAAAAAACACAGCTGCTTTAAAGAGTTGCAGACGGGGCAATGTTTACATTGCTGCACCCTCTGAAACATGTTTTCCTAATTGTTTCAAACATATTGTACAGCCCAATAATATAATAATGCAACTATGGCATATTTAGGTAGGATTGCATTTCAGCAGTAGATATCTAAATAGGTAAGAAGAAGGTCACACGTTCTGTCCATGGGACTGCCAATTTGCCAGTTGAAGAACAGCTTTTGCCTAAAACAATACTGGTCATCAGTGGACAAAGACAGCAGATTAATTGTCTGCCCCTGCCTGGGGTTCACACATTGCACTAAATAATGGGTTCCACCAGGCCACCATTGCTTAGAATCATACTCTTCACAAAGCCATAATTTGGTTTATGTCTGAGCATGTTATGGGAACCCAGACAACTATAGTTTGTTCAATAAATCATGGTTAACCAGACCTAGACTGAGTATGGGGATGCAGTCAATGTAAAGCAGCTTCCTATGTTCATATCCAGAGGCACCCTTTATTTGGAATCATCAGGATGGGAGCCTTTATTTTTTTGATGAAAAGGGACAGAGCTCAGGGATCAAGCATTTGCTGTGCCTCCTTGAAATTACAGGTTCCCATCTTCTGAGTCACCAAGTAGAATGATAAAGACATATCTCTGAAGACCAAGACAGATAAAGACAGATTTCTGAATGATAAAGACAGATCTCTTAAGGAGCTCCTGCTAATTGAAGTAAACCACATTAAAGCAGATAAGCAAATAGTTTGGTTCTGTATAAGGCAGCTCTATTGATTGGATTTTTGAAAAGCCAAATGCCTTTTTTTAAAAAAAAAATTCACCAGCTTTTGGGGTGCTCCCTTGATTTTTAAAAATTTCCTTTCCTTCTTCAAGGTGACATCTTCTTGGAGAACATCAGGCCAGAATGGCGAGGTGAATCAGGCAGTTTTTTTGGCATGTTCTCCATATTCTTCCCTTCTGCCACCGGGATCCTGGCTGGAGCCAATATTTCAGGAGACCTGAAGGTAGGTTGGCTCGGCAGCTTTCCTTCAAGGAAGAAGTAGCTGTTGGCTGCAGGTTGTATAAATGCCTAATGGAGCTCAGTTGGACTTCTCTTGATTGTCTGTTGCTTTTAAAGATTCATATTCCCCAACAGTAAAAGATTTCCAGGGCATTTTTCAGAGGAAAGAAATTAAAAGTAGAGAAAAAATGGTAATAGTTTCAATGGAAGCAAGAGACTGGGGAAAACGTAGTAAAATAATAATGAAGGTTTGGCTTCAGTGGCCAAGCACTTCCTAGAAGTTCCTCCACTTCCAGAAAGGAAAAGGCTGAAGGTGTTTCTGGAACTAAAGTTTTTTTTAAAAAATATATTACTACAAGAACTACTTTGGTGTGGTGGTTCAAGACATAGGACTGGCAGCTGAGAGACCATGAGTTCTAGTCCTGCCATAGGGACAGATGGGTGACCTTGGGCCAGTCACTCACTCTCAGTCCTAGAAAGAAGAAGGCAAGGGCAAACCACTTCCCAAAAAAATGTTGCCAAGAAAACTGCATGGACTTGCATGTGTATCACCAGGAGTCAAGACTAACTCAAAGGCACAGTTTGCATTTCAGCTTTACTATAGGCTGAGGAATGAGGGTTTAGAGCAATAGCATTTCAACCGAAGCTTATTCCTTGCTAACATATTAAGGAGGCAAATAGGGCATTCTGCATATTTGCTCTGTTCTACTTTTTCAGTTCCCTCTGCAGTAAGTTAAGAGAACCCCCCTCCCTAAAGCAACCTTCCATATCCTGGTGCTTTTCAAACTGACTTCTGGAAACTGCAGACTCAGCATATCTATAGGATATTGGTTGAATAGTTGAAGAAGGATGATCTGATAGTTGGATAAAAGAAGGATGATCTCATAGTTGGATAAAAGAAGGAGTAATTTTCCAGTCAGACTGCTCTTTAGACATGTCTGGGCAAAATCTGGCCAAGCCACATTCCATAGAGGAGAAGGGAATCCCGCTTAATCTCCTTACAATCAGAGGGTACCAGCTTAAAAGATGCCCCCTTTCCTTCAGAAATATAATGTAGACCAGTGTTTTTCACACTTGGCAGCTTTAACATGTGTGGACTTCATCTCCCAGAATTCCCCAGCCAGCATGGGAGGTGAAGTCCGCACATCTTAAAGTTGCCAAGTGTGAAAAACACTGATTTAGGCCAATCTCAAACCCATAACCATTAATTATAAGCTTAGAAAAGAAAATCAGAATAGGAGCCAGATGGACCTCCTCTGGGAAGGAACTGTAAAAGGGGGGGACAACACAGAGAAGGCCCTATTTTTCATCATTTACCTGGCTTACATCAGACAAGAGAAGCACTCAAAGAAAAAATATTGGAAGATGCTTCATCATTCTGCCTGGAGTTTGTGTAGCTATAATCCAACTTTTTAGGAAGTGCCCTGGTGGTTTTGCAGTGAGGTCAAACCACACAGCAGATTTTAAGTGATGTTAAAGGAATGGAACAAGGGATCGGTCTGACTCAAAGAAAATCTTATAGAAGAAAATATCTGTGGTTCAGGGTTGAACTGTGGAGTTCTTGCGATTCTCTGAGCTTGGTGGTTTGCCTGCAAATGTTTCATTACCCAACTAGGTAATATCAGCAGTGATGTAACATCAGCACTGATGATGTTACCTAGTTAGGTAATGAAGTGTCTGCAAGCAAACAACTCAGAGAGCACTAAGGACTTCAAATATATCTCCCATGCAGAGTAACTTATTTATGGGTTATATTCCACTGTGATTCACAGAAGTGAAGTACAGTAGCTATCTGAGTTGTTTTCGCCTTGCAAAATAATTCCTGTTCCCTGTGAAGTTACTTTACCTGGACTAGATGAGCATAGAATGGGCAGACCTGGGCACCAGGGCTTTCAGCCTGATAGGAAATGGGGGACAGGGCCATACTGGGTGGGAAAGAAAACAAGCAAGTATAGAGACCACAGCTAGCTGAATAATGACTATAATGAAGGCACAGATCTTTAATTATGCACCAGACCTTATAGGGCACTGTTGGATTTAACATACATGTCATGGTAAGTAAGAGAGTGGTGCAAATGAATTCCAGCATGTATGACTGGTTGTAGTAATATAGCAACAACTGTTGCAACCAACAATTCCAATGTTGGTTGGGGTAATGCCTTGCCCAAGTTCATTGAGTGCTGGTGACACACCCCATCTCCCTTAGATATAGCAGGTGGAGGTGGTTCTAGGAGGAGCAGAACCAAATTGTTCCTGGTCCCAGCTGAGCTAAAGGATGGGTCCTCTCAGCTGCCACTAGTTGGAATGGCAGATGGCATTGTAACAGGAGCAGCTAATTGGCTGCCAGATCATTGATAATGGCTTCTCCTCTCCCTCAGATGCCATTAGGTGGAGCAGCTGTAAGAGGAGAAGCACCAAACTGTTCTTCATCCCAGCTGAGCTGATGGGAGATATCCTGGTGGTTTTATCCCTCCCTCAGTTCAGCTGCCAGATAGTACGGCAGATGGTTCTAGAAAGAGAGTGCATTGATGAAGGCCTCGCTTCTCCTCTGATACAGTTAGGTGGAGGCAGTTCTAGGAGGAGAAGATCCAAGTTGTTCAGGGTCCTAGCTGAATGCATGGAAGGACCCTTGCTTTTCCCTGTGTCTCCTCTCCTTCTAAAATGGGAAGCACCAGCTTCTTACCCATTTTTGCTCACCACAGTTTTTCTTTTGCAGGATCCGGCAGTGGCCATCCCCCAGGGAACACTAATGGCCATCTTCCTGACCACCCTCAGCTATTTGGCCATTTCTGCCACCATAGGTAACTGAGATTCCAGTTTGGCACCAGAGGCTCCTGACAGCCATGCCAGGCTCCCAGTCCTGTGAAATCTTTTTCTTCTTCTTTTACAGGGGCTTGTGTCATCCGTGATGCCAGTGGAAATCTAAATGACACTCTTTTGGCTTCCAACTTCACCGGCAGAGACTGTGTTGGCTTGGGCTGCAGGTACGGCTGGAACTTCACTGAGTGCACCGCAGGACAGACCTGTGAATATGGCCTTGCCAACGACTACCAGGTATGGCTCCTGGATGCACCATTCCTGCTTTTTGGGAGCAGGAGAGAAATTTAGGACGTGTGACTGGGAGCTTTCTCTCTCTTCAAAGTGGTCCCCCACCACTCTTTTCTAGACAATGAGCATGGTGTCCGCATTCAGCCCCCTGATCACCGCAGGAATCTTCGCTGCTACCCTCTCCTCGGCTTTGGCTTGCCTCGTCTCTGCCCCCAAAGTCTTCCAGGTAAATTGAGGAAAGATTATGGGAAAGGGGGCCAGAAATATAGATACCATGTTGGAGTTTCTCCAAGAATAACCCCCAACATGATGTTGGCTGCAAATTCTGGTTGTTCCAACACCTCTGGAACAGCCTAGGGTTGCAGAAGGCCCCTTGGGATGATGACTTTCCACAAATCCCTTTGCAGCAAATTCCATAAGCTCATTCTGTTGATGGAGTTTTGTTTTATCTTTCCCCAAATTTACCACCAGGTCAATTTCATTGGTTAGCCTTTAACTTTAGAAAGGAACAAGTTCTTTCTAACCCGTTCAGGCTGAACTTTGACAACGGGGGATTTCTTTCTGAATGTGCTGAGTTTTAAAGTTATTTTACAGTTGTAAAGCTTGTGGGGGGGAGGGGGAGTATAGAGGGTTTTTAATTAAAAGCTACAACACCCATGTAAGCTGTTTTGTTTATCTCCACTCTGGTATTGTTTTATTAGTGAAAAGTAGATAGAGATGTTATCACAATTAAATGCATGGGAACTGTGAGCTGGGCCATGTGAACTGAAATGGGAATAATGCCAAATCAGATCCCTGTTACTTGAAGCCTCCCTGTGACCACAGGCCTTGATTGTCCCCAGTGGGTCTGGAGACTCCTGATTCCAGCTTATGTCCCTCTTCCCTCCAGTGTCTCTGTCAAGACAACCTCTACCCTCTCATTGGCTTTTTCGCCAAGGGTTACGGAAAGAATAAGGAGCCACTGAGGGCTTATGGTCTGACCTTCATCCTAGCCATTGCCTTCATTCTCATTGGTAAGTGAGGCTGTCTTTAAAATTTGTCATATTAATTTATCCATGAACAAAAGGCCAAGGGCTGAAAGTCAGAGGTGAGATGAATAGGTTGGAGTTACTTTGAAGTGGAAGATGAATCATCAGTGAATTTGACTGTGGATTGAGGAGCCAGATGAAATGAGCAAGCTGTTGCTGTTCACACAACCCATTTAACTACATTAAATGGACTGGGTGCTTTCTGGATCTGGGTGTTGTAAGAACCCTTCATCTCAACACGGCTTCCTTTAAGCCATGGTTTATTTGCTTATGCCCAGAAGAATCAGTAAACACAGCAATTGCGTTTTCTTAACTCTAGTTGAGGTTTAGCATGTGATGGAAATTCAGCCTAGAGGTCAGTTAAAATTGTTGAAAAGAAATCCCGTTGCTGGGATATACAATTAGTTACTTGGCACATGAGAATTATTGTTGAGTTCTGCAGTGGGTTCTTCATTTTCCTCACATCCCTTTGCCTCTGCAGCTGAACTGAACACGATCGCCCCCATCATCTCCAACTTCTTCCTCTGCTCTTATGCCCTGATCAACTTCAGCTGCTTCCATGCTACCATCACCAACTCCCCAGGTAAGATGGGCTGGATAGATGAACCCAGGCTGGAGGGAGTAAAATCTTTTGTCCCAGGATGGCGTGACTTCAGAAGATAGTATGGAGAAACAAGTTTGCAACTTTGAATGAATCCTACATACTGTGTTGGCCTTCTGCTGAAAAGAAGCCTTTTCATTCATGGGTTTCATCCTGGACAGTGAATTGAGTCAATCTCTCTTTCACTAACCCATTCACTGGCTGGCTTGTTTCTTTATTTAAGCATCCTTTAAAATCTTGATCTGCTTCTGAGATGTTTCCTATTCAGGCATGAAGACCAGTAACTTATAATAAAAGTGTCATAGATACAAGTTATAAATGTCATATATACACAAGTTACTAATCCTTGTAGTAGAGAAATTTGAAAAAGTTGCATTGTATTACATTGTATCTTGTCATGTGTTATATATTAATAATTTAATATTGTGTATTTGTACATATACATTTATGTATGTAGTATATAATAGTAGATTACATGATTAATATATAGTTCTATACTACGTGACCATATGACAGCTATCTTCAGGGTGTTGACTTCTAAGTTTCTGCCCTTGCATGGCCAGCATTAAAAACATTACATTTTTTGCATAGCTGCAGCTTCAGGATAAGGCAGGGGCTCTAGAGGTGGGTAAGTGGCACTCCCATCTCCCTTGTGTCCCCTCTAGGCTGGAGGCCTTCCTTCCGCTACTTCAGCAAATGGACCGCCCTCTTTGGATCCATCGTCTCAGTGGTCATCATGTTCCTGCTGACTTGGTGGGCAGCCCTCATTGTCGTCGGGGTCATCATTGTGAGCTTGGCGTATGTCACCTACAAGAAACCAGGTGGGGAAGCCTTTAAACCGAAGTTCCTTATATAGGCATCTTCCCCAACCCGATGCTCTCCAGAGATGAAAAATTGCAATGCCCACCATCCCCAACCTGGTACCAAGAGACATGGAATTGGAACACACATCATTTCCAACATGGTGTCATGAGCCATGGGAATGCAACATTCATCACCCCCAATCTAGCACCAAGAGATGTGAGACCACGATACCTATCACCATTGCCCCTTATTCCCAAACTGGTAGCAGGATGTGTGGAATGGTACCATCCCAAATGTGGTCATTCACTGAGCCAAGAATCCTGTTTCTGTTTCCTACTTGATTTTTTGGCAATCACTGGGTAGAGGAGAAGTAGGAAATGACTGAAAGCATCTCTCATTTTTCACTCCCCAACCCTCTTTCCCCCTTGCTCCTCACAGAGGTGAACTGGGGCTCCTCAGTGCAGGCTGGTACCTACAACATGGCTCTGTCAAATGCCATGAACCTGACCAATGTGGAGGACCACGTCAAGAACTTCCGGTGAGTGATCAAGTGGAGGGGAAATGTCCTCAGCTCTGGGTGTCCCGCCAGGGATGGAATAAGGGTTGGAAGATGCTTGGGATTGTGGTCTTCAGTTCCAGCTCCCTCTTGGAAATGCAAGTGTGAGTGTATCCCTGGTTTCCTTTTCAGCATATCTGCATCTTCATTGGATGGCTGCAAAGTGAAATAATGACTGGGTCACACACTGCAGTAAGCTATCATCTGCCTTGGTTGATGGCTTACCATATTGTATCAACTCAGCAGTTGGGCTTTGTAAGCAACAGTGTTGAGTGAATTGGATCAATTGTGGTTTCTTCCATCATCATGGTTAAGTAGCCCATGGCATAGTGCAATCTGTGCTGGGTTTGCACAATATGCTAAGCCTAAATCGAACAAACCACTGATGGCTTAGGGCAATGTGTGAGCTAGCCATGGATGATCTGTGAACCTGGTTAATGTTTTCAGTGTTTGGATGGCTGCTGGGGACATTGATCTCCAAACAGCAGTTCTGGATTGACCTTGATAACTTCAGAATTCATATTTTCTGGTGGAACTACCCTTTATACTTTCTCCGACTGATCCCTCGGGTGTAGCAATGGGACTGAAGTTTGTATCTGGATCAGTATACAAAACTGTCCTTATAATGAGGAGCTTCTTGAGTTCACGAGCTGTGCTTTAACTCAAGCAACCAATGCTTTCAGAATGGTGTCTCCATCTCAGTAACCTACACCACTTCCTGCACTTGTAGAACCAACAGACCAGAATCTTGCAGATTCCCTGCCTTGCGAGGCTAGAAATTCTCTGAACGCTTCCTCCTTCAGTTGACCACCTATGAAGTTATATAATATTTTTCTCCAGGATGTGTAATTTATGGAATAGTAATCAACTGGATGACCATACACATTTTTGAGGAATGTCCTAACTATGGCAGTTGCTACCTCCATGTTAGCTGCAGTGCCAAACTGAATTATAGTCCCAAGGACAATGCACTAATAAGCATGCATAAAGCACATGTAGCACATCTGCAGATGAACTGACTTGAAGGGAGCTTGTCCATCACTGCTCCCCAGTCATCATGCAGGGTGATACACATTTGCAAACCATCCAGTGGTTGCTCCCTTTCCCATCTGCAGGCCTCAGTGTTTGGTCCTCTCAGGTCCTCCCAGCTTTCGACCAGCCCTGGTGGATTTTGTTGGCGCCTTCACCAAAAACATCAGTCTCATGATATGCGGAAATGTGGCTGAGGTTAGTGCGCCTGGCAGGAGTCAGCCCTGTGGGGCAGGAATAAAGAGGTTGGGGAGGCTGCTGCCCGTTTTAACCCCAATCCCTCCTTTTGCCCCATCAGCTACATGATTCCTCCTGCGTCGGGGATTACGACGAGCAACTCCAGTGGCTCGGCACACGGAAAATCCGCTCGTTCTACAGCTACATCACAACCGGAGACTTACGATCGGGAGCTAGAAGCCTTATGCAGGTATCACATTTGTAATGCCGACTGCAGATTTGGGAGAGAGGGGTTTCGTAATGTGTCTGTGCATTCCTTGCTGGAGAAAGGAGCAAAAATTAGGGACCCTGACAGAGAGTTGGGCTAAAGCTGAAAGGATAGCTCACAATTTTGTTTCCAGGGTACTCACTCATTCAAAGATGGTGGGTTTGGCCAAACAAAGAGGATGGCATTGATTCTAAGCTACTTCTTAGTTTCTGGCATTCTGTATCAACCATTTTTGTTGATCGTCACCTGAAAGCTTTAAGACTGCTTGGGCCTCTTTGACTTGGAGATCCCATTCTGTTATCCAAGATGATAAGGAGAAAGTCTTCTGTGTGTCTTCGGAAAGGGGCTATAGCTTAGTAGTAGAGAACCAACATTAAAACGTGGGTATACACTTTATAATTGTTATAACACACCTGACTCAAAAGACAATATATCAAAGTGATAAAAGCCATGATAGGAATAAACCAAAATTATAAAAAAACAACAGTAATAATAAACCAACCTTTCCCCAAGATGGATGCTGATAAAACTTAGCTAGGGTTGGATGCCCAGAGAAATAAAATGGTCCTTAAAGATCTTTTAAAACCATGATGGAGGGAGCTTTATTGGGAACCTCTGGGTTTAAGGGGTTCCAGAATATGGGGGCCACCCTGGGGAAGTCCTGTTGTCTTGTTTATGACCCCCTTATGTCAGGTGTGGGGAACTCATAACATGCCTTCCTGATATTTAATTTGGGCAAGGTGGTGCCTGGTGTATGTAGAAGGTCCCTATTTTCAAATCAAGAGACTTTGTTAGCTGCTCCTGGGGTTCCAACTGTCAACTTTCAGATTTGTGTTTGGCCATCCCATGCAAAAAGCTGTGCGTTGTAGCATCTTTCTTTGCAACTTAACCCTGGGCTAGCTTTTGGAGTGTAAGAGTATATCTGTTCCAAGTAAGCCTTGCTGGGTCTCCTTTGCTGTGTCCTCTGGGTTGTCTTTGATCCTGGCTTATTCCTGGGCACAGATTCCTGCCCTATCCCTTGGTCTTGCCCAGCGGCTTGATCTCCTGGTTCCTTGGTCCTGCAGCCCATCTTAGAACTTGGAACAGCCCAAAACATCTTCAGTTGAAAGGGTCCCCAGTGGTCTGGGAATCTGCACCTGAACCTTGTAGCATTGCAATCAACAGAAAGTGTCCTTCTCCAACATGGCACCCTCTCTGATGCCTCGGAATCAGAACTTCCACTCCCAGGTTGTCTGCTGGCATGTTTACACTGACCAGGAGTATTTGGCCTTCAGTCCTAACTATGGGGGGTGGCAGGTTGAGGAATCAGCAACATTGGGCCTTAGCAACCTCAGTAGCTTAGAGCAAGGTAGCTTCTTGGTCATTTGTAAGAGTCATTCTCTAAATAATCTTTACTTTTTAAAAAAATTATATTTATATAGCCTTATCACTGAGTGGTTTAACATTAAGAACAAGTTGAAAGTAAATTTCTGGCTCAAGTTAAGTACTAGGGATGGATGGATGGATGGATGGATGGATGGATGGATGGATGGACGGACAAACAGTTGGAGAAACAGACAGACTTGGTTATCGGGATATTTTTGAAATAGTGATCACTAGTGGCCAGAACACTGGCAAGACACACATACTTTGGACTGCAATTTTGACACCTCCAGTCCTCTGGCTCATTGTGATGGGTGAACCTAACCATTATGGTTTTGAAATATTAGTTTATGGTCAGTGTGTGTAAACCAAGCCACTATGGCTTGTTCAACAGATTGTGGTTAAAATAATCCATGATTTAGCACAATATGTAAATGCAGGTAGTATCTTTCCCCTTTGACAAGAAACTAACCACACTTTCTCCCTGCAGGTTTCGGGTCTAGGACGTCTAAAACCCAACACAGTCATTCTTGGTTATAAGTGTGATTGGCAGACCGACTCTCCCCACAACCTGGAGAATTATGTGGGCATAATACAGTAAGGATGACATATTAGAAACAAGAGTAAATCAAAAGGGGTGGGGTGGGGAATGGAGTAATAGGGAATGGAGACAGATGCTGAGAGTTTACGGGAGGATAGATTTGAATCTCCCCTACGGTAGAGGCTTCATAGAAGAGTGTTTGCCCCTTAAACTTTATATATTCTTCTAGTCTGTAAAACTGCCAGAGTTTAAATCAGTTCCAAAGCAGAATCAGTGAAAGCCATAGATGTATTGTTTCCTGAGTTTGATAAGCCAGACATCACTTAATGCTAGGAAACCTTTGGTTCAGAGACAATTGGATGGAAGATATTCTGTAGCTGTTCCTAACATCTCTCTTCTTAGCTTATTCTGTTGTGGTGGTGGTTTTTAAAAAAGGGAACTTTCTGCCAAGCAGGTGATAGGGAGGATGCATGAAAATCAGTAGATAACTATTTGAGGCCTCTCTTCCACCCTCACCCCCTTGCAGTGACTCCTTTGATTTCGGCGCTGGAGTCTGCCTGCTTCGGATGCATGACGGGCTGGATATGTCGCGGACGGTGAAAGCCCAAGGTGGGTGAATCCAAGAATGCGTCTGGAAGCTACAATCTGTCTTGCTTTAGTTCTGGAAAAGAGAATATGTTTCTATGGAGCCTGCCTAAAAAAAAATAACTACAGGTTTTGGGAAGGCATTTAATTCTGTAGTTTGTATTTTAATTTCTCTTTTCTACCTGTAGTACAGAATTGGCTCGAAGGCAGGATATGAATAGATTATTTACTGGCTTATTTAAACATGCATGCAGCCTTGATTAATGCTCTTTTCTCTGTCTCCTGGGACAGTGAACCTGGGTTTTGAAGACACAGAAGCCGCCTTGGGGAAGGAAAAACAGAAACGTAAGTTAGAAGTTGGTCTCAAATAAGGAGCATGTCCTGTTAGGATTTGCCTATTTTCAGACTGCTCCAAATGCAGATTGAAGGAGCTTCAAAAATGAGAAGCTTGAAAGTGCTATGGGAATGCTACAAGGAATCAATGCGGAACCTCCCTTTATGTTTCCCTGCAGGTGACATGTACAAAGTTGGTGCCGATGCCCACTTGGAAACAGTGTTCCAGAGCAAGCAGAAGAAGAAAAATATCGACATATATTGGCTGTTCGATGATGGTGGTATGTGAATTTGCCTGGAAATAATAATAACAGTAGTAATAATAATAGTGATAGGCACCTTGGTTGCAATCCCAAAGCATCTGGAGCACCTCTTGAACACCATTGGCATTGACCAAATCACCATCAGTCAACTGCAAAAGGCAGCTTTACTTGGAACAGCTTAGATCCTGCGACGATACCTTTAACACCATCAAACAACATCTGCCTGTCCCAGGTCCTTGGGAAGGACTCGATAGGTGGATAAAAATGCCAAATCCAGTCTAAACATCTGGCTGTGAGGCCAACAATCATAACAAATAAAATATCCCCAATA